ACCAGGGATGAATTTGGCTTATTGTCAAAAGGAAATGAAGCAACTGTGCCCTCATTTACAGCTATCAACTTAAACAGAAATTTCATTATAAGGGAATTTCTGAAAACAATTCCTAGGTAAAAGAAAATTGCTAAGGTTGAACAGCATGTGTGTTTGAAAATTCCCTGATGTCCACAACTGTCTGCTTACTTGGTAGATACACTGAACRCCAGCTAATTTAATGCTCACATTGTTTCAAAGGTCTTAAAAAATCAGAGAAGCCTATAAAATTAGTAAGTAGATTGTCTTATGAAGTTTCTTTCCTTTGTTTTTCCTGTATTGAATCTTAAATACTCAATTGCAAAAATAGTGTTAAATTAAAAATAGGAGGGCAATTGCAAATAAAAACAAAGCCAGTAATATAATTTTTGGTTACCTCCACATTCATTCTTTTATTTTCCCAATTTAGTTGTAAAACTAATGTAGAATTTCATAAGCTGCACACTTCTGCCATTTATATTCTCCAGAGTATGGTCTGAAGAGATCCTGTGAAGCTCCTTGTTTCCAAATAAATGGAACAAATGGAAGATGATCTGTTTTAAAAGTTGTGGATTAAGATAAAACTAAGTTAAACCCCCCCCAACCTTGACTTTATAGTTTTGGTTCTGAACTGACAGCAAAACTTTCAATCAGAATGCAAAATATTTGCAAGAGATTTTAMACTTGTTTTGAAGTAYGTTTTGAACTCATTTAGAAACTTGSTCTCACTGCCTARAAATTGCACATAATGTGATAATGTAGAATATATTTTATGATAAAACYTATGAACACAAATAAGCTAGAACTAAACATATTTTCCAAGATGCTGTTTTCCTTAAAATGTTGAGGATTCTGAGATGATGATGATATTTTGTGAATGTGCCATGACCACGACTTAGCTTGTCCTTAAAAATATCTGCTCCTTGAAGGCTTGTGAAAATCCTGATCTGAAACCTTAATCTAATTGTCAGCAACTCCAAGCAAGGGTCAGCTCCAGGTTGACAACAYCACCAGAGGCAAGTCCATCAGAGTCACCTAACCTAAAAGGTAACTTTTAGAAAGATTCAGCTGCTTTAGTACTGCATACGGAAAATATATTAATTCAGCCAGTTCTGATGAAGTAGGAGTGCTGAGTATATCCTGAATGTTCTCACATAGCAAACGCCAAAGAAAATACTCTTAAGACTTCTTAAGAGCAGGTTATAAATCACTGGAAGAAGCCATTTTTCTCAGGCCTAGCTCTCATATAATCCAAGATYTTGGTCAGGTATTCGGATAAAATTAGAAGTAAAATGAGCATTAACTCATTTTAAGCAAGGCAACTTTCTCTAATGCTGTGAGAGTGGCACAAGGAAATCAAAGGCTCTCTCAGCTGTTCACATTCACTGGATAACACCAAGGCTCCAAGGCAGGATCTTGGTCTGTCAATGCATTCAGATGTGTTTGTGCATAACAGCGCTCATCTGTCCCACGGGGCAGTTAGCAAAGGCACAGGCCCATAGTAAGATTTTAAAATACTTGTTTTCCCACACGCTGTTTTATTTTCATTACTAGGAGTAGAAAAGACCGGAGAAAACAGATTTTAACAAAATAGCAGAAAAAGATTAGCCAGTGAGATGTAAGAGTTATCAGGTGTACATACAAAACCACTGAAAAAAGCAAACTGTGCATTTCAATTGTTACACTATGAGCAGTGAAGCAGAAATTTCACTTTAAAAACAAAAGGGGAGCACTTACCTATTTTGTGCCATCACTTGCTTGCAGTGCAATGACATGGCAATTGAAGCAGACAAGGACACAGCCAGAGATCTTTAGGAACAGAGGACARCAGCTAGCAAGCCATGCAAGACCCCTGACTTCATAGCCCTGATTTACTGTCAGATTCTGCGGGCTGAACCTGCAAAAGGATACTTAGGAATCCATGTCAAACACACAGACTCAATCTTGGSTATGTGGTTACACCTCTGGAAAGCTGAATTTCATCTCTTTCTTTCACATATGCCAACCATTTAACTAAGCAAAAAGGCAGTCAGAGCTACAGAATAAAGACAATAAACTTTCCCAAACTGGGCAAGCAGGGATTCATGTGCCAACTCTCACACCACATTAAGAAGAAATATGTGGTAAGACTCAATGTGAGTCAGTATAAAATGGGCTGATTCAGAACCTCACCACAAAGGCTGCATCCAGCAAACTTCTGCTGGGGGCAAACATTTCCCAACATATTCRTACTGTTGGCAGGAATAAAACATATTAATATATCCACTGGCAGCAAATGAACCCTGTAATTTACAGACAGCATTTTCAAAAGCACAGACAGGTTTGTTTCTTTCTTCTGACTTAAATGGAACAGTGGTACACCAGCATGCAGTGATTTTTCATCTGTAAAGAAGGTGTGAGAATCAAACACTCAGCAATCAAGTAATGCTCTGCTCAAAGAACAAATGTATTAAAAAGGGCGGCCTCTCAGCCTTCCAAAACTTAGTAACTCTGATTCTCATGGCTGACACATGGACTTCAAAGGGACTCAGTTTGAGAAAGGCAAATACTAGAGTAACTACTGTGAGACTCAGCCCTAACAAAGGAGAAAAATGTGGCTTCAGTGGTGACATACTTTCARCAGTCCCATAAATCATTTATGCATGCAACAGATTCAATTAGAGCCAATGTGCTCCAAAGTTAGGTTTGTGTATCCATAACAGCAGGATTTTCACTAAAGGTCATTTATCTTTGTAACACTGAGGAGAATTTCTAGTTTGAATCTTTCCCTTATTTTTAATTTTAAGGCTAGGGATTAACATTTTTAATACATAAAGTTACAAATTTAGTAAGCATAGCTTCTATAGGCATCTCCTAATAAAAACATTTGCCTCTTAATCTTCATTTGTGAAGACATGYGATGTCTGACAAAAGGCAAAGGTCATCTCAAGACTGAGTCTAAGACTGAAGTTTGGACTATTTTTTAAAAAAATTTGTTGTTTATGAAGATTACTTAAGCATATCTCAGATCTCTAACGTTTTTAACTGCCAAGAAATATAGTTGGTCAAATTTTTTCTTGTTATGACACAAAGAACTAAGAATGCAGTGGTTCCTTTCAAATATATATATTTGAAAATATTTTTAACTTTGTAGGCAAATCTTTTTAATAGCCTAGTTATTCTTGAGAGGCAAAGATGCACCACACATGGAGAGGGGGAGCAAAGGAGAGTGGAATCTCTTCCTAGATTACTGTAACTTTCACCCTAAATAGCTCATTTAACAAATTCAGGCAGAGTTCCCACTTAGGAAAGACAGCAACCCCAGGTKTGAAAATCTTGCCATCTCTTGAAGCAGAATTTCAGTAGAACACATCTGAATATAAAATGCTCTGCATATTAAAAAAGAAAAAAAAAAAAAGTTGTATAAACAGTAACACACATCCATGCGTGTTTTTAAATAATATCCTGATACACGTTAGTAATGTGAAATAATGATTCACAGATTGTCCTTTGGATTTTCCAGCATCAGAGATATTTAGTGTGAATTCCTTTCAAGCAGATTTCAATTAGGGCTTTACCATATTTAACTATATACGTTTATAAACCCCCAAGTGAAAACAAAAACCAAAGTGGAAGAGACTTTGTTCAAATTTCATTCCAAAAATATTTTTGCCTCCAAAGCTTTGCTAGGGAAAAAAAAAAACCAAAAAACCAACCACTCCTGCAAATGATACAAATGGTTTTGACATTAGGAAAAGTAAACAAGCAAAATAAAGATGGAAAAATCATGCGGTCAGTTTGCAAGTGCTGTTTATTGTTTGAGGCAGGRTTAAAGCCTTTTATAAAGACAAGAACATATATGCAAACGGACTGAAAGTGACATTAGGTTATTCTAAACACCCCTATTCTGAGCCCTGCTGCCTGTAACATTGCCATGGCCAAAACGTGTGGAKGCTTCAAAACAGACATGATAGGAACAAACTGAGATTGCTGTTATTTTGGTAACCAAAACAGATGACAAGTGCCCTAAATATWTCTAATTATATTTTTGGTTAAAGAAAGAGGCATGTAGTTTTCATCTACCCAGTATCTCCTAGGACTTCTCATGTGCATTGGCATTTCATTTGTAGTCGTGCATGACATTAGAAGAGGCATTACAAGTGGCTAAAATGTGCTTTCCAGACGCCAATTTATACAGCAAACAGCTCAGAGCTCAATTTGAACTACAAGTGGTGTGAACTAGATCGTTCTATGTTCATCACTGATTTTAAGAATCTGTTAAAGATTTCTTGTATACTTTCAGAATGAGCAAAGGCTTCTGTTTACTAAGGCCCAAAACGCTCAGCAGCAGCAGGAAGCTTTCCTCTGATGCTCTGCCAGCACCTCACTATTTCAKCAGTCAAACCTGCTTTCAATGTCCAGTTCACTTCCACCTCTTAATGCCAGCTGATGAAAGCCCCCAAGGTAGACAGTTTTGAAAAACTGGTATTTTTTTTCAACCAGGAAAGGGAATAAAGACCACCAAGTAATTTCAGACAAACCAAGAACACCTAGGCAGKGGTATCTCTCAAGTGGGATCAATATGAATGGGTTTGAAAAGTCCAAAGATCAGAATTTTTGCATATTCCTTGGCCAATCCCATTGTATCAAGTAGAATTTAACACAATATATGCATGAAGTATGGGATTTCTTTTTCACAGTAACAAGTTCATGACTCTAAATGTATCCAACCTCCTTATCAGAAAAGCATTAAATTTGCCATGTCATTTTATTTTTTTGACTGAAAATTTGACAATAGCTTTTCTTACATAGATATTAAAAGGGATTATTCAGAACTCATCTCTCTAACATATTAGTAAAGCTGCTAATTATGTTAATTCCACCAGTTACTTTTGTTGACTTCTGTCACCTCTGAATAATCATACCCATCTGGTGGCAGATTTATATCACTCCTTTTGAGCACTTTTTCCCCCAAAATTTAGGCATTTAATTCTACAGATCCCTACAAACTAAAAATACCTTGTGCAATAAATTGGGAATAATAYCCACTGTCAATATCACTAATGAGGACTTCTCCGAAGGATAGACAGTTAAGCCATGCCATAATTCTACAGCATTAAGAAATGTTCACTTTTCTGAAGGTAGGAGTTTGTGAATGATGAGATGCAATTCCAGAATTAGAAAATTTTGTTTGTCTGGGAAATTGCTTAAATCTTTTTCCTTTGCATATAAACATCTATACAAATTGACACTGCTTTACATGGCCAAAATGTTTTCAGGATATATATTTTTCCCTGCTGAAAGAAAAAGTAATCCATCCAGGCTCATTTGGGGGTGAGCGCTGTACCACCAAACTGTGAAAGGATTTGTGCAAGCACGTACTAGATGATAGAAACACAAGCACTTAATTCACAGGGAAAGAAATAAGAACAGATAAGGGCTTTTTCATGTGAAATGACAGCCTCTCTGTTTCATGAACACTTTGGTATCACCGGGCGCTSTGGCCCAACAGGCCGGGCAGAGATAAACGCGGGGTTTGGCGGAGGCGCCGCCGCCGGAGCAGCTCAGAGCAGCCCCAGGTGTGAGCCCTGCTCTCCTGCGAGCAGAGCGTGGACCAGGCAATCCATCACGGAGCTCCTCCTGTCAGGCTGGGTGCTCGGCTGCAGCTGTCTGTCACGCTGGTGGATGGGACCTGCTTAAAGGCAATCATGTCAATCTCTGTGTGACTACTCAGACGAAGATAGAAGGATGATCTTGACAGGCTTGGCAAAGTCAGCAGAAGGCACTAGAGGACTTTAGTTACATGCTTAAAATTTAGATGTGGTTTGTGCTTCTTATGTGGAGGGGCTGAAGAGGCACAAAACAGTGCTGTGCTCACAGCTGGTCATCTCGGATGAATCTGTTGCCCTCGGAATGTTTTCCGTAGTAAATGTAGCGACATTTCCCCAAAATGCCTRCAATAAAAAGGAAATGAATTACAGTTAGGACTGAGGTAGAATAATACACAATAAAGCACATAACTTGGGAAATTTGAAGGAAGGAAGGGAAAAGTTTTCTCTTGTCTTGCAGAAGAAAGTTTGTGCATCTGAAATATTCTGTATTGCCATTTTAATCAGCACTTTTGAACCTATTGGAAAAATGTGTTCAAATACCTACGTGACCTGTCCTGTTAAAAAACATCCACAAGTGTCTTCAAAACCAGAACTACATAATACTGAAACATCATRCATTGAATTTTATATCACAGCACCTCTCTCTCTCTCCTGCTTTTAAAAGACCAGAGAGTCTATATTAAAGTTATATTTTGTGCTCTCTACTATCTCCCTGCTATTTGCTTGAAAGATTTTCCTGATGAATGAAACCAAAAAGAAAAGAAAACAACAAACCAACAGAAAATAATTGCAGTTCAATGTGGATCCTGGAAAAACCTTTCAAACTTTCCCAAAGTCATACTGCAAGCACCTAAACCACCTGTATTTTCAGCATCAGACAACTGAAGTGAGTGGCTGAAATCTGTGTGGGCTAGAACAGTGAGCCACCACAGACTCCAGCATTTTTATTCATCCAAATAAATATTTAATAAAAACATTTCCAAAGTATCTCTCCAAACAACATCACAACATCCCATGAGCAAGATACACTTTAATTATGTTAAATATTGGCAGGGTGCTTTCAAAAATTAGCCATAATACTGGTTTTGGGAGGCAAGGCGCATTATTCACAGTGAGTACAGGCAGAAAGATGCCTGAGGAAGCCTTAACTGCAGTGGGTGAGACACACATACCTGCAAATCTCACTACCTTTTTCAAAAGCATCCCCTCTGGTGGTACTAAGTGGTATGTGAAAGCGTAAGTTCACAGTCACATCCCACCTGTGAACAKCCTCAAAGATGCTAAATTTTGCTAGCAGAGTTGTTCTTTGAGCCCTCAGACATGTATAGTCAAATTAAAGTCATCTCCCACGAACAGAAAGAAGGTGGAAGGGTCTCCTGTGCCCTGGGAGTGTCTCGCAGAGCAGTCRCTGCAGTATCCAGCTCACCTCTGTAAGGGCAAACATAACCTAGCCCAAAGCACACAGACACTGCCTCACACAAAGGTAAAGAAGGGGGAGGAGCAGATCCTCCATTCGTTCTCGTTTTAGGTTTCCAGAACTCACACAGCCATTCTCGTGCCCACCTGCAGCATGAACTAACTATGCAAGCTTTTATGTTCTGCATCCATTTTTTTTCCAGCATAACGCCTGTCAGATAAGCTACTAAAGCTTTGGAGGGTATGGGTCATGCAAGATTAATGTTAACCCATGCTCTTTTTTCTCTCTAAGACATCGTGATGGTAACACGCTCCTATGAGGGTTGTGGGGGGGAAATTGATAGGCCTGTCTCTTGTGAAAAACATTCTTCTTCAGGATAACGCAAATGGGGACTATACTGTGCAGTGCCTGATCACCCTCCCCTCCTCCATAGGGCTTTCTTCAATAATTTCAATTTCAATAATTTCAATTTCAATAATTTCACTTTTGCATAGCTTCCACATGCAAAAAGTGATATTAGCATTCCTAAACATGAGTCTAATAAAGAGCAAGTTTTTCTTTCCCTAAGCAGATATCCCTGCAGCAGGCATTAGGCTGGAATCAAGGCCATTTAGAGCTCTAAATGCAAAGGATATGAGCAGTTTATTAACCACATTCTTTGGACTCCTTTTTCACGGGCATTGATAAAGTCTGGTTTGAGGTCTGCCCATTTCTTAAGGACTGGAAGCAAGACTGTTTATAGAGATGCTGGTGAGAGAGTGCTGTTTGATGAATGCTGGAGACTATAGCTAGGTGTCAGTGCTTAGAAAATGAGGCAAGGACATGAGGTATTAATATTGTCAATGATCTCTTGACAGGAAAACAGATACTGTATTCACCGTCAGATTTAAATAGACATCAAGTGCATTAATGACAAAAGGGCAGGCCTCAGACAAAGGGGGCTGTATGGTGCTGTGCTGAGCCAGTCTGYGAGTTGGCAAGAACCTGATCTGAAAAGACACTGTCAGGGCTACAGACAGGCCTGGGATTGTGTGCGGTGACAGAAAACAGAGATGCTGACAGAGATACCGGTGCCATATTATGCCAAGTATATTCTAACACTGTCTCCAGCCCTAACTAAATCTGACATCATTTCCTATCGCTTATAGTATCCTCCACTGCTCTGGCAGAATATTTCTCCCCAGACATCATTACAAACTCCACTGTAGTTTTAAAGTTACTGGCAGGCCTGTGCTGTCGTGGAGGCTGGGTCTAGAGGCCTAAGGATAACCTCAGTCAATCTAAATTTGGAGTTTGCTGGAGAAGTGCTCTCATTTTCACTGATATCTCAGCTACTTGAGGTGATCTGAACGCTAAAGTGTGAGGAGCTGTCACCTTGAATAAAATCCTTAAAGTAAAGACGCTCTGTTCCCGGGATGTTCAGCAAAGATGTCGGACAGTCTGGCAGCAGGAAATGAAATCCAGCTGCTGCTGCTCGCCTGGGGATAAAGGTGCTTGGGCTAGTGACAGTTAAAGTCAGCTGAAATTTTTGAAATCCTGCAGCCTACAATTGTTTAAATTAAGGAAGTGTTGTCTCCGCAGAGATTCCCTACCCAGGCACACAGCTGTGATTTGATTGCCAGGCACATTACAGACGCTGCTCAGAGAGCCTTGATAAAAGCACAGTTGAAAATGTTGCCATGAGACCTTGTTTATCATGAAGGTTATTTGTAAAACAATAATCTTGCTCATAAATTAAATGCGGTGACTGGCTTGGTTATTTGTTTTGCTTTGTTTTTCCTCTTTATGTCCCACCTCCCTTTGTCAACTACAGAAAGCTCCGAGAACTGCAAAAGGTTTGTGCACCACAATGAGAATTTTGATGCTAAGATATATCACATGTGAATTTAGGAAAGCAACTGCTTTTTTTTCTGCCTATCTGCCATGGTATTCTTTCCTTGCAGGGGCAGGACTACACTTGTTTTTTTGCACACAGACAAGAGAAGGAATAAGGGGAAAACAATACATCTGTGGCTGTTCTGGTGGTTTTTAATTAAAATATCCAGCATTGGCTATAATAAGCTAAGTATATCCYCTATACATCAAAACAATACACAGCATCCAGAATGAGGTTTCTGCTCGAGAAATGACAACACAAGGTCTCTTGAGGGATCATCTTCCCTGAATGAGGCTTCTAATTTTTCTTAAGTAGCTGATTCTACCATCACCACAAGCTGTTAAAACTATAATTATGAAAAAAAATGCATTGGGAAGAATAATTTTAAAATTCACTCTTTTTCTTTTAAATGTTTTCACCCCTCGGAATAGATGTTCTAATTATGCTGGGTAAGTAATGACCTTGCAGTTGCTTGYATGTGTTGTGGTATCAGTCTTTCTTCACAAACACATTGTAATGTCAGTAACACCGGCCTTTGCTTAGCTGAGGGAAAACCCAATTATCAAAATAAATAAATAAATACATGCATGCATTCTAAAGCACGTGAAAAAGTTCAAGTCACGTTAGCTCCTTTTAAATTTGGGATATTTTGCAGAGAGCTTTGGTGCTTTTGAACCTATGTACACTTTGCTAGAGCAAGAAGAGTTTGCAGATGAATTATATCAGGAATGGCGAAACCAAGTTGCAATGAGATGCATTAGACCCATAGATCATACWGCCTTAGGTAGGTCAAAATTGTTGCAGGTCAAAATTCAGCTCAGGCCAACAGTGACCTAAGGGAATTGTTKTTGGGTGGCATCCTGTAGCCTTTTTCCTACCTCATTTTTGTACTGCATTAATACTCCACCTTTAGAAAAACCCACCTCTCAGTCATCACAACTTGGACAGCTTCCAGYAACACAGCTTCCTCCTGTAGCATTCAGTTTTCTTTAAAAAGTAATTACTAAAACTAAGTAGAAACAAGCCAAAAATTTTTCCACCCCCATCRAAACCTATTGCCACATCTGCCCAACATCCCCACCAGGCACCCATTTTRACATCAAATGTTTTTAATAATTCACTCTGCAAGTGAAAGCAGCAAAGCACTCACAATTAAACTTGTTTGTCAAACACTGGTGTGCAGTATCCATCAGGGATCACTCTCCAGCCTCCTGCCTGTGTCCCACACGGACTGACCACAGGTCCTGGTACCAGGAGCAAAGCCCTCCATACACAAACTCAGTATTCTAGTGGAATTCCACTTTACCTASCTTTAATTAGAGCACAGCACCTAAATCCTCCACTGCCAATTTCTATTTGATCCATATTCATATCTTTTTGCACAACCTGCTGTTGCATAGTTTTGCTATGGGCTATTAAACAGCTGCCATGTTCCACCAAGAAGCTGGGTGCATTTCAGTGTGGTTATACTACCAATCTGCAAATTGTTTTGAGACCCTTCAGGATGAAATATCAATACCATTATCATTTTTTTCATAGGCACTTGGGCATATTCTACAATTAATGAACAGAAGTTGTGAAATTCCCTKAAATATTAATATAAACTTCCTATAAAGGAAAGTAATTCCCTACCGACAACATTTAGAGGAGAATAAATACCTATCTATGAACAATTTAAAGTCTACAGTGCTACTGATTTAGGCAAAACACCTCCACGAGTCAAATTAATTTAAAATTCTTAAAAACCTTTTCATCTAAGGAATACGTAAAGCTGGATGAAAAAAACAAAAAAAAAAAACAAAAAAAAAAACCCAAAACCCAACCAAACCAAAACTAAACCTTTTTGTACGGGAGTTTAGTAATTTTTCACTTTGTATTTATCTACCTGGAAATTTTAACTTGAACTAGTCGTCTAGTAGATGACTTCTTATTTTCAGTTCCTTTTGGTGAAACAGAATAATTGTTTCTATTGAATATGAAGCAGCCTGTGAATTCTCTGACACTGGAGCCTGAGAAGCTGACTTGGAAGACAAGAAAAGGTGCAAAGGA